TGTGAATCCTAGCATTCTGTAAAACAATTTCAGTCTATAGATGAAACCAAAATGGAATGCTACTTGCAGAGTCTACTTACCAGCGGATATTCTTTTGGCTTTAGGTGAGTAAACAAAGTGTCTCACCCTCAGATCAGTTAATAATTAACTTTGTCGTTGACATCTGTAGACAGATAGGTATCAATACAAGGCTGTTGTCATGTTTACACGTTTGCCTGCTTGTATTCATCCTACTCATAGTCAGTTTTACGAGCAGTTTTTAATTCTATTTTGGTATGAATATTGATCTTATGCACTTCTTTTTATTCATTTCTTTATTTTCATATTAATGCATGCAGAAAGATTCACTTTAATCATATTATATCTTCATATTCTTGTATACATGTTTGAATGTTGCAAATTATTTTAGATAAATCTAAAATATTTTGAAGTATTCTAGATTAGAAGGTTTAATAATCAATTTTTTTTTGTGAAATATAAAAATAGACAAGATAAGTAGAGGAAAAAAATAATAAAATTGAATTGAATTTTTGAAAATTGAAATTTTATAAAATATTACTTTATCTTAACTATTTGAATGATTTATATAAATTAAAAAAATTATCTAATTTGCATAATAAGAAATCAATCTGTATCATTTATCAAAAAATACCAAAAATTAATGAATTATTTTTGTATATGATTGAAATTTGAAATTTTATTTTTTTTTATTTTTATTATAAAAAACATTAATAGCTAAACAATTATTAAATAATAATTAAATTCATTATTATTATTTAATAATCATTTTAAAAGTAAAAAATTCATTTGAAAATGATCATCTAGAATACAATATTATTATTTATATTATAATTTTACTTTTTTTTTAATGTATCAATTATTTTAATAAATAAATTTTCTGTGTTAAATTAATAATTTGTATTTAGCATTTAATCAATTACTATTTTATTATATTGATAAATACATTTTGTTATAAATTTATTTTTATTATAGGTTCTTACAAAATATTAAATATAAATTATATATAAGAAAAAAATAACATAAATTTTTGACAAAATTCCAGGGCACTACATAGCAATAACAACACAGAAAATAATTTACATTTCATTGCAACAAACATGGTTGGTAATTTGGAAAATGTTACTAGTTTCTTATTTACTGTAACAAGACATTTCATCATAAATGCTTTCTTAAAACGTCTATGTTATAATTTATAATTATTTCACACAATTAAACTACTTCCAGGAATGCGCATCTCGAATGGCAAAAGTATCAACACCTGAAAAAGAAAAACATATCTTCGTTACCGATCATCGTACAGATCCTATGTCAGTTATTATCACTAATAACACGGAAAATGAGAAGATATTAGAATTTAGTGAATCGTCACAACAACAACGTAACGAAGATAGCGAAGAGACAGAACGTATTTCTTTGATGAGCTTGGACAGTGGAACAAAGCGTGGAACAAGCAGGAAACAACATTGGAAATCCCAGAGTATGGGCGATACTGTACAGCAAACAACGAATTCTGTTCAAACTAGCAACATTATCTCTCAAGAGGAAGAGCCACAGGAACAGCCGACGTTTTCAGCAAATCGAGAGCTTTGGCAGAGACGTGCAACATCACAGACGCAATTGAACCCACCTGCACCTCCAAATCATAAAATTTTTCGCACCTCTCAAGAATTCCGTGAAATGCGTCAAAAACATACACCAGATCTTGTAATGGATCTGCCGTTATCTGCGCAAGATGCAAGCAAAAAATCAGCTTCATCGAGCAGTCTAAGCAGTTCAGATGAAGAAACCCCCACACAGCCATCTCGTACCGAAGCAGCCACGTCGCCAACAGGGGGACCCGAATCTCCTGACATGAGTACAGCCGCAGAAAGATTTGCCAAACAAAACCAATGCACTTTAAAGAAGAATACTAAGTCCAATCCAGATGCATCAAAATTGAAACGTGTAGAAACCGAGCATGATCCCGAACAAGAATCCGAAGAAATCGTTAGATCGACTAGTTCTAATCAGATTTCAGATTCGATGTCCTTAAGATCACCTCTTCCACCACGTTCAACACCCAAGATAGCGGCAAAATTTGCAGATATGCATTTAACTGGTGGCAGTCAGGTATCTTCATTCAAACCACAAATAAAAGTGAAGCCAACGATCCTTAGAAAACCAGTGTTACCGTTCCCACATCCACATATGAGTCCCGAGCTCGCAAGGAAGATTGAAAAGCAAGCGCAAAGCACTGAACAAACCAATTAATTGCTATTCAGGGTATCACAAAGAACAAAAGAGTTTTTAGCAGCGAAGAAATATTTATTTTCTATGATCCATGCGTGTTTGATTAAGATTTCCAGACGCATAGATTTGCCACTGACTTTCCATTGACCAGTTACTCCGCCCAAATCGTAAGGACACGAAGTGTGTTAGTTACTGTACCCAAAAAGAAAGGAAAGCCGAACAGCATCACCCCTTAATATGAAACGAAACACAGGAATTTAGTTGCATATGAAAGGTTTGATGCTATTCTCGGGCCGAGTTTATTTTTTCTACGACTATTTTCCATTTTCGCATAATTTTTTTACCAAATGACCCGCGAAACGATGTTTCTAGTCATCGAACGACGATTGAAGAAACGATGCGAGAAATGTATGAGCGAGAAAATACATCGAAAAAACATTAGAAAAAAAAAAAAAAAGAAAAAAGAAAAAAAAATAAATTTTAGAGGTTAAGCAGTTTTTCGTCGAGAGAGAGAGAGAGAGAGAGAGAGAGAGAGAGAGAGAGAGAGAGAGAGAGAGAGAGAGAGAGAGAGAGAGAGAGAGAGAGAGAGAGAGAGA